CCTTAGTCCGAGTCTCAACGTTTCATATCCGAGTCCTGGGTGCTAGATTCTCAAGTCATTAACAAGGCCCTTGGGTCCTCGATTCTGAGGCGGCAAGTCTTCTAGACCTTATTCGGCGCGTCAGGTTCCTCAAGTCGATCTTGGGTGTTAGGGTCCTCATGTTAGGTAAGGGCTCGCGGTCGTCGAGTTTGATCCAGGGATGCAAGTCTTGGACCATAGTCATGGGCATTATGTTTTGGCCTTAGTTCAAACTCTCCCCCATTCTCCTTAGTGTAATGAATTAGTGTAAATTGTCGCTTGTGGTAAAAAAAAATCAAAGTGAAAATAAAAGATGATTGGGATTTGAGTTAAGTGAGACAATAGAAATATGAGCCACGACAATTACGAATTAACTTGTCATTTAGGTGAGTCGAACATATACCTCTCACATACAAGTGAAGATAAATATCACTAGATCATCAACAGAGTACTAGCGTCAATTTTCTTTCACTAATTTAACTTGCAAACAGAACTATAGAGTTGAATTCTTGAAATGAGTTTCATATGTGGGGCTGTGTTATTAAAAAAGAAAGCGAATATGCGTGTGAGTGTGTTGGGTGGGGGTTGTATGGATTTTGTGTATTTTGAAAATAAGACGTTGTGCACAAGACTTCCACCAGAAATTGAATGTAAAGGGGTCAAGCTTTGCTTTTATTAATCTCTTAACCTCCAGCAGGCATTTGATGAACGAACCTCTTGTCCTTGACGGATATGAATGGACGGATGGACGGATGGACGGATGGACGGAAGGACTCATCATCCTTTTTAATTAATTATTACCCTTGTTTAACAGGTTAGCTTGAGAGTGAGTGAATGATCGACCATCATATCCCTCAACCAATTCTGGTGAAAACCATCTTTAATATTATATTATTATCTGTTCTATTCTATTAAGAGAGGAGCTCTTGTCAACTTTTTTTCCTATTTTTTTCAATTTTGTCCTCACTTTTAAATACACAATATTGACAGGATAAAATAATAATTTTATACCTTTTGACAAAATGACAATCATACATATCCTTATTTTTCCTATTTTACCCTCACTTTTGATACACAATATTTACATAAAAAGAACAAAAAACAATAATTATGTAATATTAAGATAAAATATGCACTTATTAAGAGAAATTATTCACACACAAAGTGTGTGCTCTTTGCTAGTTATTATTATTATCATCATCAAAATGAATTTATGAGAGAGTAAGTACGGTATGTATTGCTGGATTGGCTAGTCGCTGGTGAATTGATTGATATTTGACGTAAATTTAGTAAAGTAAAAGCTTAATTTGCAGAGACCATGACCAGGAGGAGAGGAGAGGGGACAAAACTTGTGAAACCCCCCCACTCCCTTGTCATGTGAATGCTATTAAGGCTATCTCTATCTATCTATATATCTTAGCTCTAGCTGTAGCTAGCTGCTTCAGCATATCGTAGTTAAACTTAAAATATCATCATCCACACCGCCCACCCCACAATATTCCCGTTCTGGTTCACGTTCTGTACTAATATGTTTTTGTCTCCATCCAGCTCCTGATGATCTTTTTCAGAACCGGATCGGATCCCCTGCACTAGCTCCATGGATCAACCTTGAATACTATCCACTAGTTAATATATTAAGGAGCTAGCTTGCTTCAGAATTTAGGGTTTCGGGTTGAAGCTCTCGATCTGATTCTGATATCAACCTTGCGCTCAATGAGAGACCTGTCCTTGTTTCTAATCAAGAACTCTCTTGGAGCCAAGATGAAGAAAGGGTTGAGAAACTTTTGCAACGATGATGGCTCAACCTCTACCCTCAACCAACATCACAAGACCACCTGCACCGATGCTGCTGCTGCTACCTCCTCTAATCCTGCACCACTTCCGGTTGTTCGCTCTCCTACTACTGATTATAATTACTATTTGCAGGAAAATAATACCAGCAGTATTAATGATTCAGATCATGCTCTTCATCAGCCGCCGACGTTGGAGGAGATGATACTGAGGTTAGATTTAGAAGAGGAGATTGCGAGATCATCAAAGTATTCAAAACCGAAAGATTATAACAAGTACAAGTACTACAAGGGAAGAATGTCTTGCGTTAACAATTCTGATATTTTACGGTCTGCAAGGAATGCATTAAATCAGTACCCTCGCTTCTCGCTCGATGGCAAGGATGCCATGTATCGCTCCTCCTTCAGAAACAGCTTGGATCATGATTTTGAGCATGATCATACAAATGCTTTTACAAGGACGAAACTGCAGTACTGTAGGCTGCCAGCAACTGTAGCAGGGGAGAGGGTGAAGTGGTGCAAACCAGGAGTAGTAGCTAAGTTGATGGGGCTAGAGGCCATGCCAGTACCTGTGATGAGTAGTACTGGTAGTAAATTAGACATTGCTAGCGGTAGTATCATCGATGTCATGAACATGAAGAAACGGAATCTCATGATCAGGAGGAGAGCTCATGATCATCAAAGACATGAATTGGGGAGAAGACTTGTTAGTAGTTATATGGATATCAATGGCAACGGTAGGCAATGTGATCACAGAATTTTCAATAAGAAAGCTGCAGCAGCTGGCAAGAGGACTACTGCTGCTTTCTCCTCATGCACCACTTCCAAAACTACAAGTGCAGGTTACAATAATAATTACCATATCATGAAGGCAGGTGTTGCCAACAGCTAGCTAGCAGAAGAGAGGCTGGTTTTTCCCGTCTAGTCCACCAAACTGCGTGCGTATGTCTTCTGTAATTCATTAGCTTCTCACTGCAGATCAGCTTCGGATTTCCATTCCATGCATCTGTCCAGTGATTAAGCTAGGTAGCGCTCCTTATTAACAATGTCAGCCGCATATTTTTTTAATATATAGGTCATATGTACTTGGCAGAGCAAGTCTCCCTGGTTTGTATAATGTTGCAACATTATTGTCACATTGGATGGCCCCCAACCATGATCGTGAAGACTAATACTCTCATCTGTATATTTCTGTTTTGTACACCATAAACCAAAGTCCTTTTGTCATCTTAAAAGGCAAATATGCGGAAATGAACACGCATGCTTAAGTAGACGTGCATCCGTGTGGTGTGGGTGTGTAAAGCTAGTTTTGTTTGGCAAAGTTACCGACAACTGTAATTCCAATGATGATAGTGTGCTACAGGATCATCTTTTCATCATCCAATTGAATGCCAACCCAAAAGTTATAATAAGCTTCAGAGATTAAGCTCGCTAAACATTAATTAGAGTACTAATCATGTTCACTAGTGCTGTAGGCTCTTTTAAGCTGTAAAGTTTGGATATTAATTCGTATGCTATAATGTTGGATTTAGCAGGGAATGGTACACTGTGAGCTATGACTTCACAGATTCACTCAGAATTTAGATGAAATTCCAATACAAAGATGAAGGATGATGATAGAGAGAAGAGATAGAGAGCAACAGAGAATATGACTCTGACATTTTCACACATTCACCATGACATGCGCTAGAGAGAGAGAGTGAAGAGAAAAATCACTCCAATTCTAACGAGCAGTATTCAAAATACATCAAAGCAATCTCAGCCTTCCATCTTACACCTTATGAGATGTAGACACTTGGCACCTTACTTACTTAAGACCTATGAGACTCAAATAATAAAGATACAACCAAATCACTTAGCTAATTATTCTAGCAATATGAGCTAGAATTACAACTACCACATCAGATCACAATTTACACACTAAAAACCCTAACAACCCCCTTTAAATTGTGAACTGATTTCACTATAAGAAGTTCTTTGAGATAGGTGAATTTCTCTCTTGCTAATGCCTTTCTAAAGATATCATCAATTTGCTCCTTTGTAGGATAGTGAACCAAATCAATCACTCTTTGTTTCAATGCCTCCTTTATGAAATGACACCTCCTGTTTATATGCTTGGTATTCTGATGAAAAATAGGATTCTTAGTGATAGCTATGGCTGAAGTATTGTCACAGTTCATTGGTGTTGTAACAGATTGGACTTCACCAAAGTCTTCCAAAACAAACCTTAGCCAAGCAGCATGTGCTCTTACCTTAGATGCACTAATATACTTTGCTTTAGCTATGGATGAAGCAACACATTGTTGCTTGACTGAAGCCTAAGAGAAAACTCCACCACTAAAGGTAAAAACATACCCATATGTGCTTTTCATGTCTTCTTCTGAACCACTCAAATCACTATCACATAATCCTATTAGAATTCCTCCTTTGCTTTTCTTGTACTCCTAGCCAAAATCAAGAGTCTCATGAACATATTTGAGAACCCTTTTTGTTGTCCCAAAATGCTTGTTAGTAGGGCAGTGCATGAACCTTTCTAACAAACATGAAACATACATTATGTCAGGTCTAGTTGTTGTGAGATACAACAAACTACCTACAATTTTTCTATATTGAGCTTCATCTGCAGCTCCACTTTTATCTTCCTTCCTCAATTTATCATTTGGTACCAGTGGTGTGCTCACTAGTTTACAATCTTGGAGTCCAAATTTCTTCAACAAAGATGATGCATACTTTCTTTGGTGTATGAAATTTTATTCTTCAGTTTGCATGACTCCCATACCAAAAAAATGATGTAGAAGTCCCAGATCAATCATCTTATATTTATGCATCGTATCAGCTTTGAATTCATCCATTAACTCTTAATAGCTTCCAGTGTAGATTATATCATCAACATAAATGGACACTATAATCATCTCTGAGTCTCCTCTACACTTGGTATACAATGTTTCCTCACTGGTACTCTTTTTGAAACCACACTGTGCAAAGTATGAATCAATTTCTCCATACTAGGCCCTAGGTGCCTGCTTGAAACCATACAAGACTTTGTTCAATTTGTAAACCTTATCCTCATCTTCTTGCACAATGAATCCATCTGGCTGGTCTACATACACCTCTTCCTCAAGTACACCATTTAAGAAAGATGATTTTACATCCAGTTGAAATAACTTCCACTTGTTCTTTGCAGCCATTGCAATGAAAGTCCTTATTGTGTCTAACCTTGCAACAGGTGCAAAGGTTTCATTATAATCTATCCCAGGTTTTTGTGCATAGCCTTTTGCAACAAGTCTAGCTTTTATTCTTTTGAATTGAGCCATCTAAGTTCAACTTTGTTTTATACACCAATTTTACCCCAATCACAGGCTTATCAGATGGTCTCCTTACTAATTCTCATGTCTGGTTCTTCTCAATCATACATATTTCATCTTCCATTGCCTTCTTCCATGCTTCATCTTGTGCAGCTTCATCATAACATTTTGGTTCAATGATACACAAATGGCATCTCTCATAAATCTCACTTAAGTTTCTATATCTCAGTGGAGTATCATCATACTGAGATGTAGAGTTAGAACTGGTTAATTCACCAGAGATAATAGTTGGAGAACCTTCAATTTGGATTTGAGGACCTTCAAATACAACATGTTCCATGGAATCTGAACTTTCATCAACTTTACTTATCTCTAGAAATTCATTTGCAGAAAATGGAATGCACACTTCCTTGACTTTATGTTTCTCCCAGTCTCATTTGCCATTCTCATCAAAGATCACATCCCTTGAGAGTATCACCTTTTGTGTTTCAAGATTAAGCACTCTATATCTTTTCTCACAAGTACCATAACCCATAAAGATACCAGTGACACTAGTTTCTTTTAATTTATGCCTCAAATTTCCTGGAATGAGAGAATAACACACTGAGCCAAACACTCTTAGGTGTTTAATTTCAGGTTTTCTTCCACTGAACTTCTCAAACGGTGTAATATTCTCCAATGCTGTTATGGGACACCTGTTTAGAAGATACACAGATGTGTTCACTGCTTCGCCCCAGGGATTATATGAAAGGTCTTTCTCATGAAGCATGCATTTAGCCATCTCCACTATAGTTCTATTTTTCCTCTCTGCAACTGCATTCTATTGTGGAGAATATGCAATAGTGAGTTGCCTTTCTAACCCCAAAGATTCACAGAACTTTTCAAACTCACTTGAAGTGAACTCTCCTCCCCTATCAGTTCTCAATTTCTTCACAGAATAACCACTTTAAAGCTGTACCATAGCCTTAAACTTCTTAAACACATAGAAGACTTCTGACTTGTGTCTCAAGAAATAGACCCAGCACATCCTTGAGTAATCATCAATGAATGTAATGGAGTGCCTATTTCCATTCATTGTTGGTGTTTGCATAGGGCCATACATATCTGAGTGTATTAGTTCTAGTGCATCTTTGCTTTCCAAGTTGATTCTTTTGGAAAAGACTCTCTGTGATTCTTTCCTAATGCACATCCTTGACACACACCTTCACTGTCATGCATCACACAGGTAATCCAAGAACCATATCATGTTCCTGCAACTACTTCATACTCCTATAATTTAGGTGTCCAAACCTATGCCACATTGTAGCACATTGATGCACATTAGCTTTTAATACCAATTGATCATTGAATGAAAAGCACCTGTTCCCCTTTTGCTTCACACTAACCACCAAGTTTGTCAGCGTTTTGTCATCAAAGATATCCATCTTGTAATCACCAAACACAAGAAAATACCCATGTTCAGTCATCTGTCCAACATTGAGTAAATTCTCTGCAAGTCCAGGTACTAGCATGACTTCTCTTATATACCTTTTTCCCTTCTCAGTGTCAATAACAAGAGTTCATTTGCCTTTCACATCAATCAGAACACATGTGCCAACTTGCAATTTTGCTTTAATACTTATGTCAATGTCCACAGGCAGATCCTTTCTAAAGGTCATATGATTGCTACATCCATTATCTATATACCATATGTCACTCACAACTTTCACTTCACTTGTTTATTTAACAAGAAAAATATTTCCAGGTTCTTCCATTTTGTTTGCAAAATTCCCTTGTTGAACATTCTTATTGAGATTACAAACCCTAACAATATGGCCAAACTTGCCACACTTGTGACATTTGATCTTCCTTTTCAGCCAACACTCTCCATAGTAAAGCTTATCACAGTATTTGCGAGCACCACTAATGTTGCTAGTGTCATTTCTTACACCTGGAGTGAACTTGTTATTCCATTGTTTCTCCTTGAACTTGAAATTCTTCTGAAATTTCATTCCACCAGCATTGGTATTTTGATTACCAAATTTACCATTCTTAGGTGAGATATTCAAACTAGCAAATGCACACTCAGTACTACTTTCTCCATGTCTAGCTAGTATCAGTTCATACCCTTTTCAATATAACAATCACATCTTGAGCATTAATTACTTCAATATATTTAGTGTTCTCTATAACATAAGCTATACTATCATATGTTTTGGGTAAACTGATCAATAACTTTTGCAAAATTCCCTTGTTACTAAGATCTTCTCCATAACTCTTCATTTGATTTATCAAATCAAACAACCTAGCCAAATATGCAGCTAGAGACTCACATTCATTCATACGAGTATACTCAAAATCACAACGAGGACCCTGTAATTTCATAGATCATACCTGTTTGTCTCCTACAAACTCTTGCTTCATAATATCCCATGCCGTTTTTGCAGTTTCTAGAGTTGCAATGCGTGGAAAAATCTGATCCAATACATCTCCTTGAATGATTCCAAAAGCCATTGCATCCTTGACCAAATTTTCACGATTCAGCTTCATCTCCGCCTTTGTTAACTCTTCCTCCGCCTTCGTTGGAGAAGTAAAACCCGTCTCCACAATACTCCATAACTCGTGCAATTGGAAAATCGTCTTCATTCGAATTTAGTAGGGAATGGTACACTGTGAGCTATGACTTCACAGATTCACTCAGAATTTAGATGAAATTCCAGTACAAAGATGAAGGATGATGAGAGAGAGAGAGAGAGAGAGAGAGAGAGAGAGAGAGAGAGAGAGAGAGAGAGAGAGAGAGAGAGAGAGAGAGAGCAACAGAGAATATGACTTTGACATTTTCACACATTCACCATGACATGCGCTAGAGAGAGTGTGAAGAAAAATCACTCCAATTCTAACGGTTATACACTTTTGGCAGTATTCAAAACACATCAAAGTAATCTTAGACTTCCATCTTACACCCTATGAGATGTAAACAATTGACACCTTACTTACTTAAGACCTGAGACTCAAATAAGAAAGATACAACCAAATCAGCACTTAGCTAATTATTCTAGCAATATGAGCTAGAATTACAACTGCCACATCAGATCACAATTTACACACTAACATATAAGACTAATACTAATATGGTTCTTGTGCATCAAGAAAAGTAAGAAGGATATTATCACTTACAATTAAGATTGCCCAACAAAGTGAAAAAAAGGGATTGATTGATTATTGCCGCGTGAGGACATCGATTTTCCTTCTCATTAATAATTTTAGTATAATAGTCTTCTAGAAAAAAAATTCATTGTGACAGAAACACGAATGGTATATTACGTGTTTTTTATGTAAGTGGTGGAAACTTTTATTTTTTAAGTTATTAACTTTTAACACATATGTTTCACCATTTATATAATGACACATGGTGTACTATCCGTGTGCTAATCACGCTAGAAAATCTCTCAATCTTCTGAGCTTGGCGGTTTGCCACATGCTAACCACTTTCAATATATTAAGATCCTGACTTTTTGGTTTCCTCTTGCTAATCTTCTTTAACTTCCATGTGGATTCACTCTCATTTCTCATGCCTATATGTACATACTAGTACTGTAAAGTCAAACTGAAATGCCCCCATCATCCATCCCATGTGCCCAGTTGGGCCATTAACATTTTAAAGGTAAATAATACTTGTATGTTCTAAATATAATGTTAAAGTGTGATTAAATAAATTCTAGATATATTAATTACTAGTTATTTTTTTTCTAGGATAAGTAATTCCTCTCCTTTTTATTATTACAAATAGAGATATTGTGTAAGAGAATAACATATATCTCATAAACACTGAGAAAAACCCCTATACTTTTCTCCACTCTCTCTTGCCGCACCCCCTATTCCTTATCAGTTAATATAAGCCATAACATTGTCATATTTTTTATACGATTAAAGAAAAAGGAAAAAAAAATAATGGAGGCTAAGCTAATAATATTATTTACAGAAATGGTTTATTGTCATGAGCAATTTGGGCAGGTGATTCCTATTGTTGCCAACTTGTGAACCAATTAATATATTATTACATTATATTCCTGTTAGTAACACCTAGAGCCTAGAAGCGGACGAGGGCAAGCATATTGCTTTCAAGTTTCAAGAAAGACATGGTTAAATTTAAGTAGAAACAAATTTAAAAAGAAATTATATTACTTGCCTGCCGAGCACCACCACGACGGCCAGAAGGAGGAGAAGAGACCAGTTTTAGGAATCAAAATAAATAATTTATATACAGATTATGACCGAAAGATCGACTTCCGCTTTTACCATGCAACCTTGTAACTTGTCGAATAAATAAAGTCCTACTTTAACTATAAACTGTCATGCAGCGAATATAAAGCATATACATGGTTAGGTGTGAGTGTATGGCAGACTTTATTTGAGAATGTTTATGTAAGAAGTACTTATCCCACTTTGTATTACGATTTAATGATATTCTTTTTCATTTGTAAGTAAGAGGTTTTAGGTTCGATTTTCGCTAAAGACGAATAACCACATTATTATGACAAGTCCATTGTAAGACTTAGCTCATTCCCTCATCCCCTTAGAATAGATACTATCATTTGTCCAAAAAAAAAAAAGCACTTACGTTTGTTTGTAAGTATTTATACTAGATGCGCTTTCATCACAAGCTACCAAATAATATTTAAAACATTTTAATCATCTAAAAGCGTTTATGGTCATTTTAAAAACATTTCCGATAAGTGAAATGTTAAGGAGACTCTCTCAAAGTGAGACTATTTATGGACTCTCTGCCACCTCATTATTTTGAAGTGAGTAATACTAAAAATATGGGAGCATTTTTGCATATCACCATAAACTATAGTGTATGCTCACCTACACCTAATCATCCGTCATGTGTCATTTCACTTAGCTATAGTTAATTTTTTTCAAAATTGAAAAAGTAACATTTAATGTGAAAATTAACTATAGTTAGATGAGAGGACACGTGACAGGTGATTAGGTGTATGGAGAACATACACCATAATTACGGTGGTGAGAAAAAATGCTCTCTTAAAATATTCATCAATTACCACCACTGCTCAACTTGAGCTTTAGGGGTGTTCAGTTCACCACTCTTGTAAACATATGAAAAAAGAAGGTCAAAATGCCACTTGACTGCACTAACAGCCAGGCAAGGCATAAAATTGCCATTAAATTAGTTATTTCTTACAGTAGGAGAGAGGGGGAGTTCAACAAAGCTACACAGCGGGCATCTTAATTTAATTATCAACCTATAATTATAATACATACTGTATAGTGCTAGTGGAAATGTGGAATAAATTAAGCATTATTCTATTAGTTTGAGACTTCCAGTGAGTTGCCAGCATCTTAGTTTTCTATATTATAGAACTTGGCCATTTACATAATTCCTTAATCTTCTCCCATCGGCCATCTCTGTATCCAGATCTATATGAACAATACATACATATATATATATATATATATATATATATATATATATATATATATATATATATACACACGTATGTATGTTCCATCTTTCTCCTTCAAACTTCACGATCAGTTATAACTTAATAGTACAACTACAAAGGCTCCCAGTAAGCTTCTTAACTTAGTTTACTTCCCAATCTCCATTTGCTTATCAAGATTTAAATTAATCCCTATCTCGTGTATTTCTCATCAAACCCTGTTATTAATTTTCTTTTTTTCTCGCTTTCTGGCAGGATATGGAATTTCGATGTCAGTATATCACCGTAGCCCTACTTACGGTATCGATTTTGAAGACTGTCAAAGGTTTTGGAACTGGGTGGACAAATGCACATGCTACCTTTTATGGAGGCAGTGATGCCTCTGGGACAATGGGTACGTACAATAACCTTTCTAATCTTTATTGTTCCCACCAAAATAGAAACTAATTAAACATGCATGCATATATATATATTTTCTGCTGTAACTTGTGGAGTGTAGATATTTAGAATTATATACACGTGTGCTGTCAATATATAAAATGAATGCACGTACGGTGGTTGTTCGGAAAAGTGAAATAATGTGAATTAATTGGGGGTGGTGGTGCAGGTGGTGCTTGTGGTTATGGGAATCTATATAGCCAGGGATATGGGACAAACACAGTTGCATTAGAGCAACTCCACTCATGGAGCCTTCCCCCTGGCAATCCACTATTGAATCCACAATTTTGAACAGTAACTGCCATTAATGAACAGTAATTGCCATTTGCATCTCCACCCTTGGAGCCCTCCCCCCATGCAGTAGGCAATAAAATATTAGTTTTTTTGTTTGTTTAAATAATACAAAATAAAATTATTTGTAATTTCGGATAAGATTTTTTAAATTGTTCTCGTTGCACCACGTGTCATTTTATAAAAACAAACAATTATTTAGCGTTGGATTTCGATAAGATTTTTATCCAATGTCGTCGTGCCACGTGTCGTGATTTTTTGAAAATCTTTGACGATAGATTTTGATCAGATTTTAACTCGTTCAAAATTGCGCCACGTGTCATTATCCGAAAAGACAATTATTGGAGATCGATTTCGATAAGATTTTTATCCAATGTCATCGTGTCACGTGTCGTTATCTTTTGAAAATCTTTGACGATAGATTTTGATCAGATTTTAACTCGTTCAAAATTGCGCCACGTGTCATTATCCGAAAATATAATTATTGGAGATCGATTTCGATAAGATTTTTATCCAATACGATCGTGCCACGTGTCATTATCTTTTCAGAATCTTTGAGGATAGATTTCGATTAGATTTTTAACGAATGACGGCATGCCACGTGGCCTCATCTACAATCCGATCCTTTTCTGAATCGTCTATATAATCCACCATCCATCCTCACAAATCTCACACCAATTTTCTCAACATCTCTATCTCATTATTCATAATTTCTGCTTCTTCTTCACCATCCATCCTTACAATGTCTTCTTCTTCATCAAGTATGATGTGGGAAATCGATCAGCGAGAGGAGGAATTATTTAACCAATCTGAAGGAATGTTCAACCTTCAGATAGCCGAAAATGAGATGGAAGAGGATGAGGAGCGTAGAAGGAGAGATGATGAAACAAGAATGGTCAGAGCCTCACATTCCCGTTGAGTCATCCAGACTGTTGCTCAGATATGCAGGCCCAACCGTTCAAGAAACCTTGATAGAAGCAGGCAACGACGGGGTGAAGAGTTGTTGGACGATTACTTTGTCCATAACAGTGCATTTCCTGATACGTACTTCAGACGCCGTTTTAGAATGGAACGAAATTTGTTCAACAGAATCATGACTGATGTTTGCAACCATGATTCTTACTTTGTGCAAAAGAAGGATGCTTGTGGTGTTATGGGTCTCCTGCCTGAGCAAAAAATCACTGATGTGTTGCAGATGCTTGTGAGCATCTGCAGACCAAGTGGATGAGATAACGAGGATGAGGAAATCAACCATTCTTGAGGCCCTGATGAGGTTTTGCGGAGCAGTCAAATCTTTGTACACCGCAGAGTACCTCCGAAAATCTACTCACGTGAACTTGCAAAGGCTTCTGAAGAAGGGCGAGATGTAAGGTTTTCCTGGGATGATAGGAAGCATCGATTGTATGCACTGGACGTGGAAAAACTGTCCAAGTGCATGGCAAGGCACATATGGGGACAGAAAAGGATCAAAATCTATCATTTTGGAGGCAGTGGCATCTTTTGATACATGGATATGGCACGCCTTTTTCGGGGTTCCGGGGGCTCAAAATGATCTCAACGTCCTTGCCCAATCCCCATTGTTCAACGACGTCCTGCAAGAAAAGGCACCAAAAGTCACGTACGTCGTCAACAGACGTAGGTACGACGGGGCATACTACCTAGCTGACGGCATTTACCCACGGTGGGAAACATTTGTCAAAACAGTGCCACGCCAGCGAAGTGCAAAGGAAAAACACTTTGCAAGCTGTCAAGAGAGGTGCAGGAAGGATGTGGAGCGTTGTTTTGGTATCCTTCAAGCTCGTTGAGCGATCGTCAGGGGTGCTGCCATAATGTTCGATGTAGAGTCACTTCGATCCATCATGATGACGTGCGTCATTCTTCACAACATGATTGTGGAAGATGAGTTTGATTATGATGCGGTTGATGAATATGAGCCAGAGCCAGACACGATGAACAATTCAAGAACACGGATATATTGTGCGCATGATGCCACCGAAGAACCCGTGCAACACGAGCCATTAGAAAGGGATGGACGTTACAATGAAACGGTCATTCAACGATATACTGCACTTCAAAGGTCATCTATGCACAATGATCGGTAAATTGACTTGATAGAGCACCAGTGGGCATTAAAACAAGCTGAAGATACTTAAGTTTATTTAGTATGTTTGTTTGTATTTGTATGTGTGTTATGTTTATGTAATTTTATTTGGTGTGTTTTTTAGTGAGTTTTTTATTATTTCGTATGTTTATGTAATTTTATTTGGTGTGAATTATTTGGTATGTTTATGTAATTTTATTTGGTGTGTTTATGTAATTCCAATTGGTGAGTTTTATTTGGTGTGTTTTATAATTTCATTATACGTGAACAATTTGATGAATTAAAGATTCTATTATTAGGATAAATATATTTACGAAATTAAATACATGTACTCTCACTTTAAATAAATAAAGTACTAACTTCAATAAAATGGAAACAACATAAATAATAAATTACAACCCAAAGTGATTGGAAAACTATGGGCTCCGATTACAAAAGTACCCTATTCCTCACCACTTAACCAATCTGTGGTGCTAGGATCATCTTGTCTTGTTGTGCTAGGACCATCTTGTCTTGATCTCGCTTCTCTTGCACGCCTCCTTTGCACCACATCCGCTTTCTCCGACTGCCAAAAATATTTAGAATTTGAAGACATCCCTTCTAAATGCGTGTTCATAATGTCACGATCTCGTTGTGCAATTCTTTCTTCTCTAAGCAACTCCCTTTCTTGCCTAAGTAGCTCTCTTTCCCTTTATTCAGCTTGAAATGCTTGTTGAATAGCTGCAACTTTTACCTCATCTCTAACCTTGTCAGCCTCATATTTCGCCAATTCCCGCGCCAACGTCAATTCACCTTGACGAGCAAGTTCTTGCATGTACTTTCCATAATCATTCTTGGAAGCACTCCCTTTTCTTCTTTGAAGCCTTCTTACCTAGAGGCCTAATTGGATAACGGGTCGACCCCGACGCTTGTTCAGGAATGGGCGTTTCAGGCACTTCTTCTCCATCTTCTTCATCAACATGGGAGCCATGATCGGGTGTAGAGTGTGGATGGGTGCTGTGTACAAAGGTGTTGTGTAGAGGGATGCTGTTCATGCATACTTCTGGACCAACAGGCACAACTTTGAATTTAGGACAATCTTTAACAATATTCCAACATTCCCACCGCGTGAATGATTTGTTTCTTGATTTGATTTTGGCACCATACCATGCTTGTGCTTGAAGTTGCTACAAATGAATAATATTGAAATTATTAGGTAACAATAATAATAAATAATACAAACAAATGAATAATAATGAAATTATTATTAGGTAACAAATAAATAATACAAACAAATAATAATAATGAAATTATTAGGTAACAAATAAATAATACAAACAAATGAATAATAATGAAATTATTAGGTAACAAATAAATAATACAAACAAATAATAATAATGAAATTATTATTAGGTAACAAATAAATAATACAAACAATAAATAATAATAATGAATATTATTAGGTAACAATATAAATAAAAAAATAATAATAAAAATAATTAGGTAACAAAATAATAAATACAAAACAAATAATTATAATCAAATTAGGTAACAAAATAATAATACAAACAAATAATTATAATATATTCTTACCTCATCCGCATAATTTGCCCCACTTCGAACATTACTACTAGCTTGTGTCAAGGCATCTTTCCACGTACTAAAGGAATGGCAAAGTATTTTCCAACGACTGTACATCGATTCTTTGGTTCTTTTCCCACCTATTTGCTCAAGAAATTTGGTATGAATTAAACTCCACATTTCTCGCAACTGCATCTCATTACCCGTAAGGGAATTATGAATAACTTCAACCTAGCTAGTGCACAACGCAACATCTTCAAGAAGCGACCAATTCGTACCTGCATCAGTAGTCATTTTGTGGAAAAAAATTGGATTGAAACTTTAAGAGAAAGATAGGAATTTGATTGAAAGTAGTTAAGAAAATATGAAATTGTGGTGTAAGGTAGATGGAGAAGAAGTGGTATTTATAGAAAAGTAAAAACAATTTTTTACAATTTTTTTTCAGATTTTTTACAATTTTTTACAAATTTTTTTAAATTTTTATACAAAAAATTAATCTTTGCCGTTAGATTTTAAAAAATTTGAATTCCAACACTCCAGATTGTGCCACGTGTCATAACGGTAACTTTTCTTAATTTTAAAACTATTTTCTCTTTTTTTTTATAAAATTAATAAAGCAGATTTATATCAACCGTTGATCTTAGATCGAACGGTTGATATAAAATCAGTTTTTTTTTATTACCGTTGCAAATCGAACGGCTCGTATTAAAGAGCCGTTGGGATCGAACGGACCGTGGGAAGCCACGTGGCTTCCCAACGGTCACTGGGCACGCGAGCCACTTCCCTAAAATCATGTCGGGTGACACGCCCCCACTCGCGAGTGAAGGGCACGCGCCTGACACAAAAAAAATTAAAAAAAAAGCCCGGACCCAGGCCTGACGTCACGGGCCTCGGGCCACAGGCCTGTCAATTGCCCACCCCCCTCTCCCTCGGGCTCCCACCTTCACCCGGCCTCTCCATGGCTGGAGAAGAAGCAACAGGCCCTCGGGCCCTTTCCTGCAGCCTGTCCCCCAGCAAAGAGCATGGGTGGAGTTGCTCTTAAGCACTGCTTTGTTCAATAATGGATTGAGCTGTGGAGCCTGCTATGAGATTCAATGTGTGAATGACAAAATGTTGTGCTTACCCGGAGCCATTACAGTAACCGCAACCAACTTCTGCCCACCAAACTTGGGTCTTTCTAATGATGCCGGAGGCTGGTGCAATCCTCCACTGCGACACTTTGATCTTTTACAGCCCGTTTTTCAACACATTGCTCCCTACAAAGCCGGAGTTGTCCCTGTTCAATACAGAAGGCAATCAATTATATCCTCAATTGGCATATATCTAATACTAACTTTAACTAACTAATAGCACATGACATGATTGATCCTGTGGTCTAGCATCAGTCAGTCTTTACTATGTTAGACGAAGTCTTGAGTTCAAATCTCATAGCCACTAGACAACAGTTGATAAATGAAAATACTAATGTTAACTAACAAGCCAATTAATATTGTAATGCAGGGTTGCTTGCAAGAAGAAGGGTGGAATCAGATTCACAATAAATGGGCACCCCCACTTCAATCTGGTGCTTATAACCAATGTTGGTGGAGCTGGTGATGTGGTGGGTGTGTCTATTAAGGGTTCGAAAACCGGTTGGCAGGCTATGAACTGGGGTCAGAATTGGCAAACCAACTCCTACCTTAACAGTCAGTCCCTTTCTTTAAAGGTCACAACCAGTGATGGCCGCACTCTCATCTCCAACAATGTCGCTCCTCCCAACTGGTCTTTCGGCCAAACCTACACTGGATCCCAGTTCTAATCAACTTACCAAGTATCAGTACTAATTAATTATAGTCTATAGAGAAAACATATGAATCCTACATGGAGACTGTGACCCTTTTTTAAAAGGAAACTTTAACGAAAAACTCCCGGTACTGTTCATTTTAACAAAAAACCATATTTTTACACTAAAAAATCAATCATGGTACTATTCACTTTATCATTTATTTTATCCTTATTGTTAAAACTCAAAGTTTTCAAATTATTTTCATAAATTTTCCTTTTTTAAAATGGCCCTCGCAACTCGCAGGCAGCGACTTGAGTCCTGTACATTTTGTGTTGGGCTGGCTTTTCAGTGATGAATATTTCACAAGGGCCACTAGCTTTAGCTTGCGTGTGTATTTTTGGTTTTCGTTTTGATGTATTGGCTGAGGTGAAGGGGATTTGTTTGTTTGTCACCCGCCAAGGCAAAGAAGAGAATGCAAGTCAATTCTGTATTGTATCAGTTGTTAGCTGAGTTTATGTTGTTGGAATACATTTGCGAAATAAGTAGTTCCTTCCTAGTTCCATTTGTGTCACCTTCAATGGTATGAAACTGTACTAATAGGTGGTTTACTGTTATGTTGAAGAATAATTTGTAATGATTTCGTTCTCTTTGCAAAAACTCTTTCATCTGTAGTGCAACATAATTAAAATCAAGGATTAATCTCAGTTTACTACCTTGAAGTTTCGTGGTTTTCAACATTTGGTATATAAATTTTTTTTCATCTCATAGTCATACCTCAAATCTTAATTGTGGATCATACTTTGTTATTATTTTTGTCAAGAGTTCTGTTAAAACGTGACGTTGCACTTGACTGGATGATGACTATGCAAAAATGTGGCACTATGAGCCCCACATAGGCATATAAACCCAATTAAAAATTCAAAAATATTTTTTTTGCCTATCCCTTTCTCCAGCAAGGAGACCGACGAAAAAAAAAAAATTATAATCTCCATTCCTTATAGCCTACACCTTCTCCAGCTACCCCCCATCTCCCCCTAACAACCCACTCCCAAAGCTTCCCAAGCCGCCATTTTTCACTCACCCACCACACTGAGAACCCACATCCTCCACTTTCCTCACCGCCTCCATCTCATCCTTCGCCTCTCTCGCTGCCATAGTCATCTCCTTCACCAACCCTCTCGCTGCCATAGTCGTTGATTATGGCGATCCAAATCCAAAGACCTTCTGGAAGATTCCACGACGTGTTGAACATGGCCATGATGGTGATCGATGGCTTGGATCTGGTTGTGACGGTGAATGAGCTGTCTATGATCGAGTACCCTGATTGGATTGGGACGAAACGACGGCTTCAGATCCTGGCTTCATCCGTACGATTTTAGAAACAAATTCTTTGAACCAGGAGGAGTCCATGACCTTGGCGATGTCTTCAGATCTCGGTGGTAGACGCCACTGTCGTGGCAGAAATCGATGGCTGAGAAAGCTTTTGGAAATAGCTCTCCACCGCAGACCAGATCCATTGCGAAATAGATCTTGGACTTGCTCGCCATGACCTTTTGGAGCTAGACAATGTTGGGGTTCTTTTTTAGGTTTTAGGTTTTCAATTTTAATGTTTTAATTTTGTTATTTTTTAATTTTAATTTAAAAAAAAATTTGACACGTGTCTTTCAATCATTATTCACGTAGGCATCACGTCACCAGATAACGGTTGACTTAACATTAGCTTAACGGATGTATGAGACTGTTTCAAAATTAGTACTCGAGGTATGACTCTGGTATGAAAAAAACTTATGTACCAAATGTTGAAAACTACAAAACTTCAAGGTAGTAAACTAAGATCAATCTTAAAATCAATCATCCAGTCACCCGGGAGAGGAGAGGAGTTCACTCCAACAATTGGTTCATGGGTTTTTCAACAAAGAGATTGTAGGCACAATTTTCTTTACCAACATATCAACAACCACAAACGTTAGACATGATATGTTGAGTCGTTGTTGGAGGCGACAGATGGTTGTCCAAGCAGCACGGGCGAAAATCCACCAGAAGAAAATATGATGGGATTTGAACGATTTGTTTGCACCCAGAACGAGAAGAAGGTGAGTTTTATCTCTTAAAACCCGAATTGGTTGTGGTTGTTAAATCGGTATGCAGTTTTGGATGCCAAGATTTGAATGATTAAAATCCAACAACTGATCACTCTCGTGTTCCTAAAGAGATTTTTCAAAGAACGGTTCTCATATGTTATTATACAAGTTGAGAAAAAAATATTTTTTCAAGTGTTTATCTACTTGTATAATGACAAATAATGAATATGCCCGTGTTTCAGGCATATTGAAATATCTCTTGTGTTCCTAGGGTGGCAAACCAACCCATTAGATTGTTAACGGGTAATTATTATGATTCATCATATTATGGAAAATCAAACTAAATAGGTCTTAATTACTCATTAACAATCTAATAAATTAATTTGCCACCTCTTACCTCGATTAAGCACAAAGAGGGAAAGAAACTTCAACCTTTTACATAGCTTTTAATACTTAATGTTTCATTGAATATACTTAACTCATTTTGTTCAACCCTTATCTCTTACTCCTATGAATAACTACCTAACTTAAGGCATCAGAGAGTTGTTGGCCGGTATCAACCCCGTATCAAAATCCATGTATATAAGTTCAAATTATAAATTGAAACATTCCAATTTCAAATCCATTCAAGTCAAAATAAAAAATGAATAAGATCAAAAACAGGCATCAGAGAGTTGTTGCTTAGATAAATGCTATGTTGGTGGGTGCGTTCCTCACTATATTTTATTGGGTAAGAAGAGAGAAAATATAAGAAGGGTAGTGTTATTCACACATCCGTTTTTACTACTCACACATTCTTTTCAATTTGCAGCCGTTGGATTGAATAAATTGAAGAATATCAATAACAAAAATTTAACAAGAGTATATAAGATGTAAAAATAAGTGTGTGACTAGCACTATCCTATAAGAATACTTGAGGGGCTAATTTTGGAAGAAAGATTGGGTAAGAAGCTAGGGTTGCTGCATTTTTGCGTGGTTTTTTATTAATGAATTTGTGAGTGGACATGAGTTAAGCAAAATTGATTAGAGCAATGTGCTCTTTCTTTCACACCCCAAGTTTGAATATATTTTCCATATTTAGATGATTTTGTAAAGGGTGATGCTAGAGAAACCATTAAAAAAAGACTTAAACAATCAACCGCCACATCCTGTGGTCTACAAAATATGGTCGAAAAACATCGTTTCCCTAACATTTTCCTAGTTGTAACTTAGTTTGTCGTAACTATTTATAGGATCAAATACAATACACATACAAATATATATGGAGTTTTTAAAGTTGTTGGAATGATCCCCTGTCAACTTTGCCATTGCCACCACGTCCACTGTCTCACTATTACCACAACTAACACCATTGCCACTGTCTTGCCATGACCACCACTGCCCCACCACTTCCTACATTCTCCACTTCAATACCCTCACATGGCCATCACCACCTCCACCATCACCACCCCGTTACCTTCACTGACTACAACCACTATTGTTGCCAACCCCCCTCTCATTTTAACCATCACCGCTACCATTATTACCAAACAAGAATTTACATATTAGTACCAAACGCATTTTTAATGTTTTCATTCCCAAAATTATATTTTGTTGTTTTTTTATTTTACCAAATAGTTATTCAAAAATCGTTTTACAGTACATTACCAGACTAACCCTTATATTTCTATTAGTTACAAGAGTAAACTGGGAATTTGAGAAAACTTTACGAACGAGTATTTTTCTATTTTACAAAACAGTGATTCAAAAATCGTTTCACAGTACGGTACCAGATTAGCCTTATATTTCTATTAATTACAGGGGGTAAATTGGGTGAAAACTTAAGAACGAGTGTAGTCAGCATTTTTGGGGTTTGAATAGCATTACCATGCGAGAAATCAGTAGACACTAGAATTTGTACCCGCGATGATGTGAGGTTGAAAATTATATGAAAGATTATGCAACTGCAATCTTCATTAGGGGTGGTTCTGTATGGGATACTATACCGAAATTAGTATCCCGAATCCCAAACCGAAATTTTTCGGGATGAGAATTTGAAGACCAATCCCAAACTAAATTTTCGGGAATCCCAAATTTCGGGAATCCTAAAATATTTTCGGGATTTCGGGACAAATCGGGAATCCTAAATTGAAATATGAAATTATGAATTTTTGTTCAAATATATAACTCAAGAACTAGGAATGTCACTTCATTCACACTACCATTTAATCGAACACTAACATGCCTGACTGTTTTTATCAGAGTCAAAATTCAAATTAATTAAACCTTTTTTGCAATCTGTTGAGAAACAAAAGAATCAAGCCTTCTGAAATCATCAGCCATGGCAACAGCAATAAAAAAATCCAAATGAATATCAAACAGAACATGAAAAATATGCAAGGTATAGGGCATTCCAAGTTGCAGAGCATGAATTAAAAACTACTAGCATCAATTATAAAAGAATAATATTATATATATATAATAATTAATATTATATATTTTCGGTTTGGTATGGGATTCCCGAAATATCGAGAAGCCAATCCTGAATCCCGTACCGAAATTTTGGTTTGGGTCGGGATTTTTTTGGTTCGGTTCGGAATTTTTGGGAATTTTTTCCACCCCTAATCTTCATAAACAATGTTTGAGTAAAAAATTGAGTTACAAACGCCAATGCAATTTATACACAACTTCATCATGAATGAAACAAATTTAAATATCTAAAGAGAATTCTATTTCTTCAAAGTAGAAAGGGGAAAATAAATGTTTGCTTAAAAAGTTGGGAGTAAAGACAACTGCATCAACTACAAATGTAATATTAAGGGAATACTTGCCAAATAAGGTGTATTACATTTTTAGCCTTTTCAAGTGCTACATGCAAAATTTGGATACCAGACTTTCTCCTAGCTTGAGTTGTATCCAAAGAAGGCAAAATTGACATTATTTTGCAATAAATTGCAAAAAAGTGCCTTGCACAGCTCTCCATGCTGCAGAAGAAAACAAAGACAGTCAACCAATAATGTACGATGATAAAACCACAAGACAAAATCGAAAGGTGACAGTGATCCAAAAAAAATATGCACGATAACTTCAAAATTGAGTTTTTGAGAGAGAGAGAGAGAGAGCTGAGAGAGGTGAAGTCACCTTGTAATCATGGACCAAATCCAATTTTTTTCTGATTACCCAAGCAGCAATTTGACTTGAGAAATCCTAAAATCAAACACCCCAAATAAGGTTCAATCAAATTTCGGCACAAAATATTAATTAGAAAAACCCTAAAGTGGAAGCGAAAAAGATTGAAACTTGCCTAATGTTATGTGTACAGTTTCAGCATCTGCTTGTGAAAAATATACTGTTGTGATCTGCCATATGCTGATCTCAGCTTCTCGAAAGTGACATCAACCGTTGACTGCTAGGTAGATAAAATTCATACGATATCTTACAAACCATGAGAAAAATTATTGCATTAAAGTTTTATGCTAAAAGAAAACTCACGTTTCTATATGAACCCAAAGTAGGATTTTTGCATATACTTTATTGGATTCATTCTTCAGATGAGTTTCTCGTACTGATCATCCATGTTATGTGAAAGGCTGATTCTACCTTCTGTAGTAAGTCACAAAAAAAATGAAAAAAAATAAATTAGACAAAAAGGTTAGTTAGAATAAAAAAGAACCAATTGGAGAGATGAATAACCATTCTAACCAATCGGGAAAAGATACTTTTATATCCTGAAAAAAACTTTAGAGAAATTTGAAAAAGAAAAAGAACATAATTTCAATCTTTCAATTGGAATTACACAGAAAATTTACTAAAAATCCTAGATTCCATCACCCAACATTGGAAAATAAATCACGAAGTAATGCAGAAGCAGACATACAACAGAAATAAAAGAAAGGAACACGCAAGAACCGAAACGTTAAAAGCAACACATAGCCATTTTAAAGCCTCAAAATCTTGCCAAGACCAAAATTCCACTCCCTAGAAAACCCCAAAATCAGCAAATAGAAAAATCAAATTTGATAACAATGAAGAAACCACCAAATTTCCAGTTAAAACAAAATTAATACAACCTTTGCAAAAAACAATCAGATGATAAAAACTAAAATTCGTAAAGCATTTTTGTAAGTAGAGAAACTTCTGCAAAAAAAGAGCAGCAGAAAATTAAGAGTGGAATTCGTTAAAAAATCATATTTTTACACTAAAAAGTCAATCCTGATACTATTCATTTTACCTTTTATTTTGTTCTTATCATTAAAACTCAAAGTTTTCAAGCCATTTTCATTAATTTTCCTTACTAAATACCATGCTCCCACATTTCAAGCTGTGGATTTTCATATGAGGCCAATGAAGGAACAATAAGCAGCGCTGAATTTAATTCCATCATCAATGCCTTGAACTTGTAGGATCTAAATTAAAATAAAAAATAAAGCTAAAATGCACATTCATCAACAAAAATGAAATTAGACCCTAAAACTTCTATCATGGAGTAAAATATTAACATTGGGAAAAGGAGAATAAAAGAATTCTGAAAAGGAAACCGAGGGTTCATTTGTTGTACTGAATTGGACTAGCTTCAGAGACTAAACTGAACTAGCTTAGAATAAACTAAGCTGGATTGATTTAATAAGGAGTTTGATGCAATGTCAAACTAAGAACTAAAATAAAAAAATTAAAAAAATATATTTTTTTTCTTTTTTTTTCGTTTTTTTTTTCCTTTTCTAGAATTCTTTTTCCCCTTTCCCAAATCTCTCCTCTTACTTTCCAGTCTGTCACCGTCTCAATCTCTCTCTATCTATTTTCTCCCTCATCAGCAAATTCCATTCTTTTCACTCATTCTCAGAAAAAGCCTCAGCATTTTTCACAATCTTCAACTCATCCATTTTTCAAGAATCTTCAGGATCCCTCCAAATTATTCAAAATTCTCTTTTGGTTACCGTTTTGTCATCTGGGTTTTCTCAGAGCTTATTGTTATCTGGATGTTGAAATTGCAGACCAGAAGCATGTTTGATCCTCCACCCACTCCTCTCTGATTCTATTATACATCATTCATCTTCCATTTTTGCTAAATTATTACTGGAAATTCCAAACATATCCATTCCCCGCAACCCCATTTCTTATAATCCAAATCATATCATCGGTAATTGACATCATCATCAAAAAGTTTCTTTGTTTTTTTGTTTCAAACTTTGTCATCTGGGTTTTGTCATACGGGTTATGTCATCTGGGATATGGCAGATCCTGTATCAAACAACAAACCACCGTCATCGTCTAAGGCCCCAGATCCGGCCGACCTAGACTCTTCTTCGAGCTGGAGCCCATCGATTTGAGACCTGTTGGGAGAGTTGGTTAGCGAAGCAGACGAATGAAGAAGACAAGCGAAGCAGACGAACGAATACGGTCTTAACAGTCTTGTTGTTTTTGGGGGGTCTCGCAAAGACCACCTAAAGAGGTTGCTGGTCGAGGCGAGTCCCTTGTAGTACCATTAAAAGTAGTCCCTGCTCCAAACACACACTGGACTAAGTGTTAGTCCAGTCTAGTATAGTAAGACTTAGAGAAGCCAAATAAACGGGCCCTGCCAAGATCATCTATACCAAATGACAACATTTTAATCTTTCAAACTGCTTCTGAAAAAAAAAGTAAATTAAATGAGGGGATCTATACCTTAAGACAACGGAAAAAGTAGATTAAAGCTGGAAAGTATCAAACTTTACAACTTTCTCCAAAAGCATATATCACTACAAAAGTACCAATTTCTCGCATTAATCAGAAACTACGCAATATTATTTAATATTTTCCAATGAATTTTAAACCCTAAAATTGTCACATTTAGACGTGAAATTTATTCAAGAAGCACTTGTCAAATGTTTGACAAAATTTGGCAATTCGAATAAAATCCATACAATGCAGTTATCACAATCGTCAAGACCAACATTTGAAAAATGCAGATAAATTCACAGATATGGCACATCATAAAAACTCATTGAGATTGAGATTACACTAAATTAAAAACATTCTTATTAAAATAGAGTAAGTCACAAAACGCACAATCAAAACAACATAGACCTTACTTTAAACTTGCAGAGACTCCAAAGAAATCCTGAACTCATTCGGCTACATAATTAAAAAAAAAAGAATAATAGTAAAAAAACGATCCATCTGGACAAAAATTCTCACACGAAATATAATTGAAACATGAAATTCTTAAGTTACCCAATTAGACCAAGAAGAACCAATCGTTAATTGAGAATTCACCGAATAAAACAATGCAAGAATTGACCAAGTAAAACAACGAAAAATTGATTGCAACAAAGTAAGAAACAGAGGGTAGGATTTGCCCCACTGCAATAGATCCAGCATTTATGCAAAGGAAATTCTATTATGAATTAAAAGAAAAGGTGTGTGAGGGAGAAAGAGAGAGACGTACCTTTTTGTAGAGACCAGAGGTTCTAAGTTTGAGAAACAGATTGAGAGATCTGTACTTGAGTTCTCCACTCTACTTAAGCCAGTGGAGAACTCCGTTTAGATTGTAATTCCAGGGTGCCTGCAAAGTTAGCATCTTACTTAAAATTTAATCAGTATTTTATGCATTAATAAAAGCAAAGTCCTTCCATTTAAATCAAACCCATCAAATTAAACGTACAATTAAATCCAATCCAGACTTGAAAATCCAAACTTTATATCAAATTGAGATTTTTTTTTTCTTTTTTTAAGCTCACCAGTCACCAGTTTTTGGGTGTTTATGGAAGGAACCTCAAAAGTGGAAGCCAAATGTATCCCTTTGTACTTCTTCTTTTTGTCTCCTCATCTTCCTATTTGTAAAGTCTAAAAAGCTCAAATCAGAATTGCATCAAATAATTTGCCAGATTTTACAATGCGAAGGGACATGTTTTCAAATTAACATACCAAGATATCATTAGTGGACACAAATGATTAAAATTAGTGATAAAAAACTAAAATCAAAACAAGAAAATTAAAAATTGAAGATTGATAGAACTTACAAACGGTAGCTTGTTTGTAGACTTAAATTGAGGAAAAGTAGAGAAAGAATGACCAATAAGGGAGCAAGAGAAAATTAAAACCTTTATTTCTGCTTTGCGATGCTCTGAGATGGTATGAAGTTATATCTTCCAATTTTATGATAAATGGGTGAAATCGCAGTGATGAATTTTTAATGTTGCGGTTTTCAATTTGTTGGTAGAAGCAATGGAGAATGTTTATTCTTGTAATTGGGTAACTGCAGTAAAGATGAGAAGAGTTAAAATCCCAATCCTCAAGCGAATAAGAGTTAATATATCAATGACTTGGTGAATGGAATGTAATACTTGTAACTCCTAGCTTTTACACTAAATCTTCAACAAAATAAGAGTTAATAGATCAATGACTTCTTGATTGGAATGAGATATTTTTATATAAATGCTTAAAACCAAAATTCTATCAAACTAAATCCAAGTTCGAGAAGGCAGTGGAAAAGGTAATTATCAAAATGAGAAGAGTTTAACCAAATTAGGCATTGTTCAACACTATTAGCACATGTATGACTTGTAGGAAAAAGAAGTAATGCTAACCTGAAGAGAAAAAGTTTATCCTCAGTGTGTTGCCCTCTTTGTGTTTTTCTTTTTCCAAAAAATATGCAACCAAACCCATGAACTATCTATCCAACTCAATACTCAAAAACCCAATTAAAAACCAAGAAGCATAATTCAAGCATTATCAAAATAGGTAAAAACATAGACATTGGTCATTTGTAGAGCAAAGCACAATTTGTTCCACAAACTTCTCCAACACAAAAATATAGAGATTTGAGCTTTTAACTCATGGAAATGAAAACGGAAACAATCTATAGTAGAATGAATTATGCTCCCACCTATTTCAGAAGGTCACAAAGTTTGAACATCACGCTAACATGAAAATTTTAAAAGCAACAAAATAAACTTTAAATTGGCAAGACACAAAACATATACAAACGAAGGCAATGCCACAGTCCACAAAAGAAAAATAAAGAAAGAAAATCATACAACACAGTCGGGCACAATTAATCACATACACTAACTACAAACATCACAACCTTAATTTTTTTGCCAGTTTAAAACGTTGTATTTATAAAGATTAGCACAGCGCCATTACAAAAAAAAAAAAAGATTGGCACTTTTTCAAACTGTGCTTAATTTCTCAATCAAAGATTAGAAAAACCAAAAAACAAAGTAAAAATGTATAAAACACATATAAAAAAGTAATGGCAGTACCTCTGAAACTTTAGGATTATAGTTCACCTTGATAGCAATGGTCGAAGAGAAATCAGGTCCAAATTTGTCACTCATTTGCAAAACCAAATTTACATTATTCAATTAGTTTGACCAACTGAATTTATAAACCAATGGAGAACCTAGCCCTGTCTCTGTTCTTGATATTGGTCAATTTGTTTCAGGTCATGGTATTTGTTCAAACTCTTTATTTGCCTGTATTTTCAAGTTTTATACCTCTCAGTATTGGTCCAATGGAGAGCTAACAATATCTCATGAGTTAATTCAATGTCACTTTCACCAGATTTTATCATTGCTATTATGCCTTGGTTTATTAAGTTTTGCACCCAACATCTGTCTATAAGAGAAATCAACATCATCTAATGCCTTACTTAAGGCTATGAAGAGAGAGATTAGGAGTTAGGATTGTTGAAAATATCGCGCTTAAGAATGGGAAAAATAGAACAATCTCCGGAAATCGAAAACAAATAACCAAGATAAATAACACCAAGAATTTATATGGTTCGACAATATGTGCCTACGTCCACGAGACAGCAACAACAATCTTTTACTATATCAATAATGAGTACAACCAATAATCTTGCCAAATCTATAGAACTAGGACCTGACGAAAAACCTGAAAGAACAATAACAAGAAATACACTATATCTTTTCTTTTCTTTCGCACACACTACAATATTCTCTCACTCTAATCCCCTGAGTGAGTGGTATACATTTTATTGTTTTGCTCCCTTTTAATTCAAAACTAGTACAATAACCCCTTTATATAGACATAATAAAGGTCTTCTCCAATAAGGATTATTAATCCTAATTGGAATCTAGTTATAAATCCTACTCCAATTGAGAAACTAACTCCAACAACAACAACAACAACAACAAAGCCTTTTCCCACTAAGTGGGGTCGGCTATATGAATCCTAGAACGCCATTGCGCTCGGTTTTGTGTCATGTCCTCCGTTAGATCCAAGTACTCAAGTCTTTTCTTAGGGTCTCTTCCAAAGTTTTCCTAGGTCTTCCTCTACCCCTTCGGCCCTGAACCTCTGTCCCGTAGTCACATTTTCGAACCGAAGCGTCAGTAGGCCTTCTTTGCACATGTCCAAACCACCGGAACCGATTTTCTCTCATATTTTCTTCAATTTTGGCTACTCCTACTTTACCTCGGATATCCTCATTCCCAATCTTATCCTTTCTCGTGTGCCCATACATCCCACGAAGCATCCTCATCTCCGCTAGACCCATTTTGTGTACGTGTTGATGCTTCACCGCCCAACCTTCTGTGCCATACAACATCACTGGCCTTATTGCCGTCCTATAAAATTTTCCCTTGAGCTTCAGTGGCCTACGACGGTCACACAACACGCCGGATGCACTTCATCCATCCATCTTGTATTCTATGGTTGAGATCTCCATCTAATTCTCCGTTCTCTTGCAAGATAGATCCTAGGTAGCGAAAACGGTCACTTTTTGTGATCTTCGCTAGATTGCTCCGGTCATTAGTGTGGATAAGTATATAAATGGATAGAGATAGGAAAGCAAACACAAGATGTACGTGGTTCACCCAGATTGGCTACGTCCACGGAATAGAGGAGTTCTCATTAATTGTGAAGGGTTTACACAAGTACATAGGTTCAAGCTCTCCTTTAGTAAGTACAAGCGAATGATTTAGTACAAATGACATTAGGAAATATTGTGGGAGAATGATCTCGTAACCACGAAACTTCTAAGTATTGGAGTGTGGTATCGTCTTGACTTTCCTTATCTGTCTCATAGGTAGATGTGGCATCTTCTCTGGAAGTACTCTTCCTCTATCCAGGGGTGGTATCTGTAACTGGTGGAGATGCACAAGGTAATGTATCAATGTCACTTGAAGCTTACTTGTAGTTTCAGGCTTGGTCAAGCGCGATACAAACCATGTAGTAGGAGTCCCCCAAGTCGCCGAGCTAGGGGATCTGCTGACAGAGGTGACAGACAAGGTAAGCAATCAGAGCTCCGGCTGATTGTTCACATTCTCCCTATCTTGCAGGCAGCATGAAGGATAAAGAGAAGAAAAATGAGAAGAGAGAGAGAGATGATATGGGATACTTTTGCTTTTGAAGAAGTAACTTTCCACAGGCTTATTCTTGAACTGGGCTGGAGGGTTTTCTGGTTTCCTCCAGAGATAAGGCCGACTGAAGAATTTGAGGGTCAAAACAAGTCCATCAAATCTAGAGTACGTTCGACCCTGCTGATATGGGATACTTTTACTTTTGACAGAGTAATGGATGTATCGGCACGTGTACTGTTACGCTTGTCTCCACATGCTTCCTTGTATCCTTCTCACTTGCCCTATCTGTTCCTCAGGCAGATGCGGGATCTTCCCTGGAAGCATAAGATGTTGAAGATGAGTACTCGAGAGCAATGTCAGGTAAGTAATCAAGTAAGCGGTTCCAGGCAGTCAGTTCCTGGCTGGAAGCTTGATTCCAAGTGCTGACTGATTGCTCTCTTTCTCCTTGTCTTGTAGGTAAGAACAAGGCCAAAGGAAAAGACAGGGAAAAAACATGATATGGGATACTCTTGCTTTTAACCCTGATGATATGAGATATTCTTGCTCTAGTATAGCTTGTTTACAGAGGTATTATCGGGGGGAAAGAAAGCTGAATATTTCGAAAGGCTTCGTTGGGAGTGCCCTCTCAGATAAGAGGAAGGGTTGAGCATTTTTGCAGGTCTGCCTGTCTGTTGGGGATGGAGGTCGACATATATAGGAGTCTCCCTAACATCAAGTAATAATGCTATTCCTTTACCCTGCTTGGTCATAGCACGGTAGTGGGAGCTGCCAGCTTTACAAGTTTTAACTCTGTCAGAGCACTTTGAAAAAGTGGTCTGTGGTATCTGGAAAGCTGATGTTGCGTGTGAAGATTACAGACAAGCTTTATCCAAGGAGATCCAGCTCTTGAAGTTGGGAAAGTGGTGCCTCTTCGGTTTTCGAACAAGCAATCCTGTCGGGGATCTGGCTCTCGAGATTCGGAGAACGATGCCTCTTCGATTTTTGAGAAAGCAATCCTACTGGGGGTCTGGCTCTCGAGATTCGGAGAGCGGTGTCTTCGATTTTTGAGAAAGTAATTATGTTGGGGAGTCTGGCTCTCGAGATTCGGAGGGCGGTGCCTCTTCGATTTTGGAGCAAGCAATATTGTTGGGAGTGTTTTCTCGAATGTGAGTAAAGGTTGGGCATGTTTGCTAGTCTACCTTGCCACGAAGCACAGAGGTTGACACACAGGGACTTTCCAATTATCCAGCAGTGGTACTGTTCCTTTACCCTCTCTTCGATTTTTGAGAAAGTAATCATGTTAGGAGTCTGGCTCTCGAGATTCGAAGGGCGGTGCCTCTTCGATTTTGGAGCAAGCAATCTTGTTGGGAGTGTTTTCTCGAATGTGAGTAAAGGTTGGGCATGTTTGCTAGTCTACCTTGCCACGAAGCACAGAGGTTGACACACAGGGACTTTCCAATTATCCAGCCGTGGTACTGTTCCTTTACCCTCTCTTCGATTTTTGAGGAAGTAATCATGTTGGGAGTCTGGCTCTCGAGATTCGGAGGGCGGTGCCTCTTCGATTTTGGAGCAAGCAATCTTGTTGGGAGTGTTTTCTCGAATGTGAGTAAAGGTTGGGCATGTTTGCTAGTTTACCTTGCCACGAAGCACAGAGGTTGACACACCGGGACTTTCCAATTATCCAATAGTGGTACTGTTCCTTTACCCTTGTGGGTAATAATATGGTAGCTAGACCTTCAAAATTTATGTGTCTAAACTCTGTTAGTGTTGTTTCTTTGCTAATCTTTTACCCTTCTTGGTCAGAGCGATGTAGTGGGAGCTACAAGCTTCACGTGTCTCAACTTTGTCAGAGAACTTTGGCAAAGTTATATGTGGTACCCATGAACTACTGTTGCGTGTGGGAAGTGGGTGATTGAACAGTACGATTCATGTGCTTTCTACTTCGCCAGAAATCTTTGACAGAATGCCCATAATTTCCGCAAAGCTGAGTGCGTGTGACAGGTGCTGACAGGGCTGGAAAAGTAGGTGCCTCTTCGATTTCTGAGATCGGCCCTCGTGGTCTCTGAGCAGCCCAGCTTTTGAGAAAGCAAGCCTCTTCGATTTCTGAGATCGGCCTTCGTGGTCTTTGAGCAGCCCAACTTTTGAGAAAGCACACGCCTCTTCGATTTCTGAGATCGACCCTCGTGGTCTCTGAGCAGCCCAGCTTTTGAGAAGGCAAACGCCTCTTCGATTTCTGAGCAGGCGCCTCTTCGATTTCTGAAGCTTTATCGAGTGCAGATTTTTATAGGGGCTGGCATTAAGTTCCAAAGCACACTTGAATATCCACCAGTAGAAGCTTCATTCTTGCACTTCTAAGATCTTTGTTTGTCCGACCTCTTCTCTCTTCAACACCTTTGAAAATGTCTGGCCCTTCCGACCGTCGTTTTGACTTGAACCTTGTTGAAGAGGCAGCCCCGCCTTCTCCAGACAACATATGGCGCCCATCATTCGTCTCCCCTACTGGTCCTCTTACCGTTGGGGATTCCGTGATGAAGAATGATATGACCGCTGCGGTAGTGGCCAGGAACCTTCTCACTCCCAAAGATAACAGACTACTTTCCAAACGGTCTGATGAGTTGGCTGTTAAGGATTCTCTGGCTCTTAGTGTTCAGTGTGCAGGTTCTGTGTCTAATATGGCTCAACGCCTATTTGCTCGAACCCGCCAAGTTGAATCATTGGCGGCTGAAGTGATGAGTCTCAAACAGGAGATTAGAGGGCTCAAGCATGAGAATAAACAGTTGCACCGGCTCGCACATGACTATGCTACAAACATGAAGAGGAAGCTTGACCAGATGAAGAAATCTGATGGTCAGGTTTTACTTGATCATCAGAGATTTGTGGGTTTGTTCCAAAGGCATTTATTGCCTTCGTCTTCTGGGGCTGTACCGCTTAATGAAGCTCCCAATGATCAACCTCTGATGCCTCCTCCTTCTAGGGTTATGTCCAGTACTGAGGCTCCGAATGATCCCCCTTCGGTGCCTTCTCTTTCTGGGGCTCTACCGACTGCTGAGACTTATCCTAAGCAACCTTTGTGAAGGCTCCCTCTTGTTTGTTTATTTTGACTCAAGTATATGTACATATTTGTAACTTATCGGGGATATCAATAAATAAGCTTTCCTTCATTTCAACGTATTGTGTTAAATACACCAAAGCCTTCTTCGTTAAGTTCTTTGAATTTTATTTTGTTGAAGCTTGTATGTTGAAGCTTTGTGAGTGGAGCATGTAGGTTGAGGTAGTGTTCCCTTAATTTCCCGAGTGAGGAAAACTTCTCGGTTGGAGACTTGGAAAATCCAAGTCACTGAGTGGGATCGGCTATATGAATCTTAGAACGCCATTGTGTTCTGTACTGTGTCATGTCCTCCGTTAGATCCAAGTACTCTAAGTCTTTTCTTAGGGTCTCTTCCAAAGTTTTCCTAGGTCTTCCTCTACCCCTTCGGCCCTGAACCTCTGTCCCATAGTCG